AGCCGTCTCTACCTTTCCCGATGGAGGACTGGTACTGCGTATCTGCTCGGAGCCTCAGAGTCAGCTCAAGACAAAGAGCACAGGCTGAAAGTCACTGGAGCCATTGTTGCTAATCTGGACACCATCATTCGGCCGTACTGCAAGCCTCAGCTCGACAATGAGCGGCGAGACCACCTCCTCAAGCTCTGCAAGCGAGCTCATGACCTGGGACTCTTGCTTTTGTCTCAGCCAGCCGAGTGGGGTTTTTACTGGGGCTACGGGCAGAAACCGCGTCGACCCGAGCACCAGAGTCAAAGAACAGAAAGAGGCAGGAGAGAACCCTTGGTGGTTCAGCCGCAAGTCTGCAGACTCACGGACAACATGGCTCGTTTGTTGGATCGGCCACTAGTGACTCTCGAGCGCCACGTCCTGCATTAGATATCAGGTGCCAAGAAGTGCCATGTCCTGGTTCTGCCCATATGGTACTGTACTCTTGCTTCAGGGACCCACTTGTTGGCTGGGAAAGGTGTACTTGCTTTGACTCAGTGATGGCACGACCGGGGCTTGTGTCAAAGCCGGCCAGGGTATTATTTGACTTATCTTAGGCGGTTCAGGGGATTGTTGTTGCTGCTCAGCCTGATTGGCCAACCCTGTCACTCTTTTCGTCACTGCTGGTCGGTCTACTTGAACATATGATATTCCCCTGATAACCGGAAAGTGGCCTCTCTGCTATCTGCGTCGTCGTATACTCGTTTATGAATTCCACCATGGTACTTCACATTTGGGAACTGCATGGGGAGCTTATGTTGTTGTTGTCCTGCGATCAGGCTGAGAATCAGGGGCTGAAGCTATTTCGTGCCTGGCACCTTCCAGGAAGAGTACTAGCGCTAAGCCCCGGATTGATGGAGGCTTGCATCCACTTTCCACACCTTTCTCCCTTACAACATGGAGGGCCTGACGGAATACGAGTTTTGATCTCTTCTGGACCCTGTCTTTCGGAGCCTGCTTTCTACTATCAACAGCGTTCTGCCGCTGCTTTTATTCAACATGCTTTATCGAGCTTTTGAAATCTCTTGGTAGTCCTTCCACAGCTGAACTGCATGCCCAGACTTCGTATCTACATAGTCGTCCAATGAGAGGCGACGATACTTCGTGATATTTCAGCCATGGCACAACTCGTCGCTTCCAGATCCATCGAGGTATCGCCATGAGGGGCTGGACATCTCTTTTGGAAATGCTGGCAGCTGCTCTATGGTCACAAGACTCACAACACTTGAAGGTTCTGGAACCAATTTCTTATCGGAGCCAAACCCGTTCGTTCTCAGACCCTGCACACCATCAGCATCCTCCGGCTGGAACGCACCTGAACAATCTGTGCTCTCGCTCGCATCCCGACCTCGAGCGTGTCCTTGACCGCCTCTCAGTCTCGATATCGGCAGCATGGATCCCACCACCATTGCCGGCGCACTCTTCTCCGGGCTCAACGCGATCGTCAAAGGCGTCAGTTACGGGGCTCATTTCGTCGACGTCCCCAAAGAAGTCACCCAACTGCAGCAAAATATTCAAACCGCAGACCAATCCATCAACACGGCCAAGCGCCTCGTGCGGCTCAAAAGCCACTACCTCAACCCGTACCTCGTGAAAGAGAGTCAAAGCAGCATCGACGCCGTCGAGAACGTCCTTCGACATGTTCGTGACTCCATCGAGGACTGTCGCAAGGACCTGGAGGTGAAGAATACGGTCAGCGTCAAGCACCGCGCGATCTGGGTGTTGTGGAAAAATCAGGAGTTTCTTTCCAAGTTGGAAACGCTGAATACATGCCTCGGCGCGTTGAACAGGGACATTTTGCGCTTGGAAATGGCGAGTCCACCTCCTGTTGTGCTTGTTGGCGGTGTCCCATTCGCACCAGACTATGCAGACGCACAAGTCGACCCCATTCGCGATCCTGCAGCCACGAGGCTGAGATCCAAGCCCAGCTTTGCACGCAGTCCTTCCAAGCGCTGGCTTGGGAATGCCAGCACCAGTACTTTCGACCTCAATTCATCCGCAAATACCAGCAGAGTCAATCTTAGGTCCATGAAGAGTTATAGCAGTATCACCCTCAGTCCGGAAAGCACTCACGACCTCAGGTCAATGAAAAGTAATAGCAGTATTACTCTCACATCGGAGACCAACTACTTCAGTTCTGGACTGGGCGACAGGATCGGTCATGGCGACGAGGGATATCAAAGCGATGATGGTATGTCAACCCGATCATCGCGGCACGGGCAGTCGCACAGTACTCTTTTCGCAAAGCCTGACGGTACGGACCCCAGCATCAGCTTCGTCGCCGGCAGCGGCCTTAGTATCAATCTGGATGACCAAAGAACCTCTACTCCCCAGAGCGGATCGGGAATATATGCCCGCGCCGACCATTCATACGTCTCAGAGTCAATCCGTCCTACCGTTGGAATCGACAATCGCCACGTGCCAAGCGCGCATATTGTATACGAGCTGCCAGGATCATATCCGAGCCTGGTTCCATCACCGAACTCTGCTGTGCCAGACCCGTTTACTTCGAACAACCCTTGGGGAGAGATGACACATGAGCTTCCCATCCCAGATTTTGACTGGGACAGCAGAAGGAATAGAGGCAAGATGTCTGATGTGCCGCCCATAGTCGAGGATGAGCAGGACACAGATAGTCAATATTCGGGTGCCAGTTTGCTCTTCCCAAGCGTGACAGCACCGGCATCCATGGTTTCGGCACCGTCCGGGACTACGCCGTCAACGACCAGCGACGCTGCTTCTCTTCTGTCCGATTATGAACAGAAGAGGTTGAGGAGGAGACGGCGGTCGGACTTCATAAGTTGAGGCCAGTCTCATTGAAGACCCGTTTCCGAGGGAAGTTTGGAAACAATCCAGCTGCGATCACACATTTTCACTGGCCGCATCTGCTGAGGCCTCCTGGCGGGAGGTAGGCAACACAGCTGCACCAGCATCAGATTCAGGCCCCTTGGTCGATGCAGCGGTCCGCACTCGATAAGCCTTGAAGCCACCCTCCGTTTTATCTTCTCCCTTCTCGGGCCACAGGATCTGTTTGTTGACGATTGCCCGGATCATGAAGCCGACGACAACACCCCATGCAAGTATCAGGAGACACGTCATGACGCATCCAATGATTCTTATCGCATCAACATCGAATGCCTTGGCTATAGCGAACGTCGCCGTCGTGAGTGCAGTTTGTGGGAAGATAAAGCTGAACCACGTCATGGAAAATGGCATGTGGTGATTCTTCCTAAGACATTCGAGATTGGAAAGCAGGCTGATGAAGAAAAACCACCATGCCAAACCCCACAGCCAAAGAGACATCCAGTTGGCGCAAAGACGTAGAATTTGTGCAGCTAGGACGCCCGGAACACCCTGGAAAGTGGACGAAGGCGTTGAAGCAATCACTGTATGCAGATTCTGCGCCATGCTGATGGTCCCGCTGACGGTAAAAGCTGATGGTCCCACGGACACGAACATGCCTGGACGCAATGGCTCTGCCGGAAGTTTCTGTGTCATCAGTCGGTAGACGAATGCAGAATATATCGTCAACGAGACGAGGAAGCCGATGCCTTGTATCGTGAAGCCTCCAATGATAACGCAAATGGCGTTACGCGCGCTTATCACTTGAGCTGATATGTTGGCGGCGTGGGGGCCCATGATCAGTAGAGGGTATGCTGGAAAAATCCAGATGGGCGTCATTCGCGCGATGGTAAATGTAAGGCTGGTCCACAGGGTGAGGTAGATGGCTATACTCAAGAGAACGGCCAGAGCACCGTCAATCCAGAATAGGACTAGGATCGTCTGGTCGAGCCAACCGCCGACGTGGCCAGTGCCGTACTCGACGACATTGATCAGAATAGTGCCGAAAGAGACGGCGAATGCAGCGACGAAGAGTGATTCCGTGGGATGCGTGAAACTGGCACGGAATGTCCAGGGATATAGTACGAAGCGGGCGATGATCATGGCCCAGATCAGGATGTAGAGAACGATATTGAGCAGGAAGAATATCAGTCCGATCGTGTAGAGGCCGTTGAACTGGTATGGTACCGCATGCAGAACATTCGCGATACCACCTGTGGCCATTGTTAAAGTGAACCAGGCCCAAGTGACATGTTCGACCCTCTGCTTCCAAGACAGATGTTTCGGTTTATCGAAGTCATCGTCATTACCACCGTTGCCATCCCCGTCATCATCGTCATGCGCTCTTCTGCTTCGCTCTTCATCCGTGCTGTGGTCGTGATCATTCTGGAAATACCGGTCCAGAAACTGGGCCGACAAACGCATCTGATTTGCTGCATGCTGTGCGTCTTCAAGGGTTGGCGTGCGCCATCCATCGCGATCACGACTGTACGACGTTCTCACGCTGAGATGGTCGAGATAGCCATCCACCGCGGCGCCGTTTGCAAATGCACGGGGTCGGGTACGCTGAATGATCGATCCGTGCAGCGAAGCTGGTGCTGAGTTGTGTACTGCCGGCATCGTCGCATCTCGTATGTATTATCGGACTATCTGCCGAGGCTCATACGGAGGTACTGCGCACATACGATTGAGGTGAGTCGCGTGGAGTTGAGATTCGCTGCCTTGTCCAGCTTGCTCGCCAACCTTCCATGATCGATTTGACGGTTAGAAAGGAAAACAAGCAGGTTCTTGAGGTCGAAAATTTGTTGCCCAAGGTGCTAATGGAACTCGTCAGTGTGTGCATGGCTGAGTTTTCTACGAAAAAGAGCCGAGATACACGTACCATGACGTTGCCGTAGTTCCGTCTTATCGACACAGGCGATGCCGGGATTGGCGCTGGGTCACCGATTGGTACCTCTTCGGGAAGGCTTTTCCTTACCCTTGCCGACGTTCCGTCTCGGGCATGACAGGACTCGATGGTGGATCCCAGGCTGTCTTTTTTCTTTTTGTCATTTCTCATACGCGCTGAAAAGTGGTTGAAAATGCTCGCTGATTGAACGGTTCAAAAAAACCACAGATCGGTCGTTCTGCGCGGGCAAATGGTCTAGGGGTATGATTTTCGCTTCGCATTATCCAGCAAGTGCACTTGTGAAAGGTCCGGGGTTCAAATCCCCGTTTGTCCATTTTTACGCCGACAAACTTCCATCATCTGGGGTTTGGTGTTCTTTTTTTGTATCTGTAGAGAGAAATCTTGTTTTTGATGCGTGTTGAGCCATACATTTTGGGTGAATGCCCACCGCCAAGACCCTACTTTCGAGGTGAAGTGAAACTTGGCTCGAATGTGCAGAAGGAGGGGTTGGTGAGCGTGGGGACTGGATGTTTTGGAAACAAGAAGAAAGATACAGGCGAGCAAGCGAAAAAGGAAAGAACGATCGGTTGAGCCAAATCAAGAGGAAAGGACAAGCCTCCAGGCGGGAAAGCGCTGGGAAACAGTGCTCCTGTGGTAGGACACAATCGTATGTTGACACACTATGTCGTGGGAACAGACCACTCAACTGTGGAAAGAATCGTGGAGATATATAATGCACAAGGTCGAAATTGCAAGCCTCAATGGTATTTGGCGCCAATTGCCGATAAACGAATACAGTAAGTTGCTAGTTGTTCGATCCTGACACAGAATCAACCGTGCCCACGAACCCAGCTTGGGGTTTAGATACCGAGAGAAAACTCCACGCCAACATCAATATCTCTGGCCATCTTCACAATCTTGGAAAAGTCCACAGCTTTGGCCGCGCCTTCCTGAAGATCGGTAATGGAAAAGATCTTTAGTCCCGAGTTGTTGACCTGTGTTCGAGGTGTTAGAAAACCATATCTTCTGATCCGAGTGCAATTACTTACCAACTCAGCCGCCTTTTCCATGTTGGTACCTTGCAATCGACATACAATGGGTAATCGCAAGTTCATCTGTTCTACAACGTTGATCAAACCTTGAGCGATAGCGTCACATCTGACGATACCACCAAAGATGTTGACGAAGATCGCTGTGACCTTGGGGTCACTGGTGATCAATTCGAAAGCAGACCTGATAGCCTCCGGCGTGGCACCACCTCCGACATCCAAGAAGTTGGCTGGTGTGCCGCCGTTCAGCTTGATGATGTCCATAGTTGCCATGGCGAGACCAGCACCATTAACAAGACATCCGATATCACCATCCAGCTTGATGAAGTTGAGGCCGAACCTGCACGTGTTAGCTGGGATTGTCCTTGGTATGTTGGTTTGTCATACTCTGCCGCCTTGACCTCATCAGCATCCTCCTGCGATGGATCTCTCCAGCTGAAGACCTCCTTCTGTCGGAACTCTGCATTGTCGTCAAAGCCCAACTTGGCATCCATAGCCAGGACCTGATGATCGCTGGTTTCGCTGAGAGGGTTGATTTCGATTTGTGTAGCATCCTTGTCCATGAAAACCTTGTAGAGTCTCTGGATTGTGTTCTTGGCGTCTTCAATGCATTGCTCGCTGAAACCAACTTCTGTCGCGATGTTTCGGGCAATCTCGTCGGTCACGCCTTCTTCGATAGTGATAGGGGTTGTGATGATGGCATCCGGAGTCTCCTTGGCCACAGTCTCGATATCCATACCACCTTGCGAAGAAGCCACAATGACGGGCGACTGGGTCGATCGGTCCATAAGAATGGCAAGGTAGAATTCTCGGCGGGCGAATTTACGTTCGCAGATGTAGACTGAATTGCAGATACGTCCGCGGGCACCGGTTTGTTTCGTGACGAGTTTGTGGCCGATCATCTGCTGTGCAAACATCTTTGCTTCTGTGGGACTGCACAAGCTGTCAGCAAGACACTTATCGTAGAGGTGAGGACGGCCTACGAATAGATGACCCTGACACCACCCTTCAAGCCGTTGTCAAAGGTACCTTTACCTCGACCACCTGCGAGAACTTGAGCTTTGATGACCATATCATCTCCCTCTGTTGTACGTCAGTCTCTTGTCCGTTCACTGAAAGGCTTGTAATCCGTACTGATATTCTTCGCAATGGTCTCGGCCTCCTGTGGTGTTGTTGCAACCTCTCCATCGGGCACTCCAATTCCATACTGTCGAACGTTAGACACTCGTATCTCCGTGTAGTGAGGTATATCAATGGTCATACTTGTTTGAGTAATCTTGCAGAGAGGTATTCGTGTATGCTGAGGTTTCTTTGCTGCTGGAATGAGGTGCGCGCTGGGGTAGCCTGTTTCACGTGTCAGATTTGCTGCTCAGGAGCGATGAGGATGTTTTCGTACTCTAATAGCCTTGAGGGCCGGGCCCAGGCTACGACGACCCAGCTTGTACATTGCGTGCACAAGACTGAGGGTTTTTTGTAATGTGGTGGACTGCAGGAGAACTGGACTGCGATCCAGACAAATGGTATGTACAGTATCGGGGCTGGTCGGTCGGTCGCAAGCTCGGCAAGCTGCGAAAGTCCCTAATTCAACTGGATTCGGCAAGCTGATCGGCAGCCAATCACGGCTTCTTCCCCTTGGCACCATGGAATTGATTCCTCTCGACGTCCTTCATGACTATCCCCTTCTACTTTTTTGGCATTATACAGATATCTCTCCTCAACCAGAGCTTCCCGGCCCGACCGCGGCCTGCAAGCGCAATGAGCAGCAACATCAAGCCAAGGTAAGAACGTCCTAACTCGATGCAACGCCTTGACTGCACGAGGCCTACCTTGTACAATTAAGGGATGCAGCAAATTCCGACCGTCATCCCATTGGAAAAGTGGTTCATGGCTCTTTCATATCATGGATTCAATGAAGGGCGTACTCATCTCCTGAAGCTTAAATCTTGAATGGAAACAGAAACCTGCTCTCATTGGACACATCCATCGCAACGGTTATACTCCGTCTGACCTCAAGAGTCAGCGATCTACATGAATGGCTTTCCATGTTGATTACGAGGATCATTCCAACCTGCGTGGAGCAGCATCAAATATATGTAGGTCTCGCAAAATCCCAAAGCAGCCCAATGCAACACAAAACCGCCCTGACTCTGGATCCCATCTCCTCTTCAATTCCATCGCGCTACTCATCATGGACTTCCTCTACCATATCCTCTACCCACTCACCCCCTCAACTCACGCCCGACCAACCTCCAAGCCCCTACAAATACTGGCTATAGGCCTACCTCGAAGCGGCACAGACTCCCTTCGCCAAGCTTTACTAATGCTAGGCTACACCAATATCTTCCACGGCTTCGAACTCCCCTTGACCCGAGCAAACGACTGTATCCTCTGGGTTCCACTCCTTCAAGCCAAGGACCGCGGAGACACATCGTCGGTGGAGGCCTTCGACTTCGACGCCGTCCTAGGTGACTGTGACTGTGTCTTGGATGCACCACCCTGCATACTGGCGAAAGAATTGCTCGACTTTTACCCGCACGCCAAAGTGATTCTGAATCGAAGGCGAGATGTCGACGCGTGGCACCGCAGTATGACCGAAGCCGTCAACATGCTGTTGAACAACTGGATCCTGTGGACCTTATCCTGGTTCGACGCACAATTGTTTTGGTGGTTCTGGACACCGACATTGTGTTTCAAGATCCTGGCCAACGGCAAGTTCGAGCAGCTAGGCAAGCAAATCGCGCGCGATCATTACGATGGCCTAGAAGCCAAATTACAAAAGAATGGCAGAGACTACCTCAATTGGGAAGTCACAGAAGGCTGGGGTCCACTGTGTAAGTTCCTCGGACGCAAGGTACCAGCAGAGCCATTTCCTTCGGGAAACAGGTCTGGCAAGGAGTTCGAGAAAAATATGACGAAGGCGGTAGAAAGAATGGTCAAGCGAGCCGCACTCAAAGCGTTGTCAGCCTGCATCTTGCTCTGTGGCACGGCTTTGATGATCTGGTGGAGACGATAGCCTGGTAATTAGTACGTATTTTGCTAAATACTACGGCCGGGCTTCGTATTACAATGATTAACTGTCTGTTTTGATCGTGACTGATCCGCGCTTTCAAACATCTTTGGACCATTCGACTTCCACGTCCTACGAGCTCGTCGCATACGGCGCCAGGGTGATATCCACAGGTGCCGCGCTGTTAGGACACACGCAGCCATTGTCAATGGTGCTGATACTTGTGACCGGAGGCACGGTACAATGCGGACTAGGAGTCCATGGCATCGAGGAGATGGTATGTGTCACCTGCGAAGGAAGGATTGTTTCGGCCTTGACCAGCACCGGAATCACAGCACCGGTGTTCAGCGAGAATGACCGGTGTCCAATGACTTCAAGAATAGTCCCAATCTCGCCCGAGTGCGACGTAAAGCTCATCCAGGTCGAGCAATCAGTCGTGAAGATATTGTCGAGTAATTGTTTCGATCGCACTTGCTGGGCACCGTCGGTCTCGGCAGTCACACCAGTCCACAGCTCATCATACTCGGTGAAGTTCGCCTCGATCGGCCATGTCGGGAAGATGTTGTGAATGTACGTTTTGTTGCTGCGGCGGTCGCATGTGTGCTCGGAAATTCCTTCCCTCAATTTCTCCTTGATTGTAGGAAGGAACGGGTTCTTGGCTGGCAAAGGAAGGCCGGAGAAGGTCAAATTGGCTGTTTCGAGGCATCGTGACAGTGGGGATGTGTAGTAGCTCTGTGGCGTGGTGATTTTCTGGGTCTCGATGCGCGACAACCAGAAGTTATTGGCCACCAGAGCCTGGGCGATGCCGTTGTTGGTCAAGTGTGCATCAGACCAGGTTGCAGTAGCGTTGCCATCAAGAAGGGACCAGTAGCAGTTCCAACCTGGAGTTCCGTAGTAGGTCTCGGCAGCGTTGTGCCAGCCTTCGCCGTGGCGTCCCAAGAACAGTACCTTGTAGTCGACATTTTTGGGTGCGTTGGCGTTGAGAGACTCGACCACAATGGCGAATCGTTGCCATTGAGTCAAAGATGCCACATTGGCTGGGTCGGTCGGGTATGTCTGGTTGATGAGACCGAAGTTGACGGTCGTCTAGCAAGCGTGAGTAGGCGTGTCACCCACGTTCCTTCCTCAACTTACATAGTCAAATGCTGTGGCGTTCGTGGAGTTCAAATCCTGCAAGAAGTATCCTGGTACGGTGGAATACTCGATGTAAGATGGCCCTGTAGCAGCAGCGAGGGCACACGCTCCACCAGATACCAGGAGAGGAATTTCCCAGCGGAC